TAATTCTGGCACTTGGGAGGCAGAGACAGGAGGATTGCTATAAGTTCAAGGCCAGTCTGGACTACGTAGTGAGGTGTTAGCTCAAAAAACAAAAGAAAGAAAGTCAAACTATCAGCATATTCGAGGACATTTTGGCTGAATATCACAGAGTCATGGACAGTAAGCTTAGAATGAGGTAGAATGGCTGGGAACTTAGAAACAGAACACAGAGTGCTCACAAGCTACATTCTGTGGCTTACACACTGAATTGCTCACCTTTCTGTTGCTGGAACAAAATACCTCACACTGGTAACTTAAAGGAGAAAAGGCTTATTTGTGCTTCTGAGTTCCAAGGGTTTAGTTCATGGTCAGTTGGCTACATGGCAGGAACATCATGGCAGAAGGGTGGATGGAAGCTGCCTGCCTCAAGGTAGCCAGGAAGAAAAGTGAGGGGAAAGAGCCAGCAAGGGGAGGCCAGGGACCAGATGCAGCCTCAAGATCACTCTCCTTGTGTCCACCCAGGCACACTCAGAAGTGGCTTCTATAGTCTCCGAGATGCCACTCAAGCCAAAAAAAGTTGCTAATAATGAATAATTATCCCTGGGAAAGGGTGACCTGTCTGGGAAACAACTACATAATTATTTAGATATTCCTGAGAAGTCTGACTTTGGAGAAATACCTTGAAGTAAATGATCCTGGGCTGAAGAAGTGGGCAAACCATACCTCTTAAGGGCCAATAGCTCTGGCTTAATAGTTTATCTATGGCGGTTGGAACTTTAAGATTGATTTGCCCAGGGCATAGTCCTTTGTCTTCTCTGAAATAATGACTCTTTTTACAGAGATACCCATTGGGAGCTGGCAACTTTACTATGTAACATTGCAAGTGACCAACAAATTTAGAGTGGTGTTTGAAGGACTTCGAGGAGCTGGTGCCTCTGCAGGCGGTCTATCTATTGATGACATCAATCTTTCAGAAACACGGTGCCCTCATCACATTTGGCGTATAAGGAATTTCACAAACATTGCTAACAGCAAAAATGCAACTCTGTACAGTCCCCCATTCTATTCTCCTAAAGGTTATGCTTTCCAGATTTACATGGATCTACGATCTTTGACTAACATAGGGCTCTATTTCCACTTAATCTCTGGAGCCAATGATGATCAATTACAGTGGCCATGTCCTTGGCAACAAGCCACAATGACACTCCTGGATCAAAATCCTGACATTCGACATCGTATGTCTAACCAGCGGAGTATAACTACGGACCCGCTTATGACCACTGGTTCGTGATTTATTTTCTTTGGTGCTAGTATATGCTAACTATAGGAGGGGCAGATTAGGGAGGGAGATATTGCACAGTGGGTTACTTAGGAAATTTTTAGTCTTGAATCTTAAGAATGGGAGATATTTAGGGAAAAGCGTTCAGTAGTTGGGGAGAAAGTCTCCAAGTAGAGACTGTTAGAAATGTCAGCACAGACTCTGACAAGACAGGAAGTTAGTGGCTGTATTCCTGAGAATTGATGACCATCCCTGAATTTCCAAGGTTTTGCAAAAAGTGTTGGTTTTAGAGTCTGGTATGCCTCGGTTCAAGTCTAAAACTTTCTTCATCCTCAGAAAATAGTCTCTTGTCTTGGTCTTAACCATCCAACAGAAAAGTATAAAAATGAGGTATA